AGCTATGAGACTGTTTACATCACGTGAATCCCACTCACAATGAGACCGCGCTGGAATGAGTTGCACTTTTAGGACCAGGAGTTGGCCTAATTTTTAAGCATCTGACATTGTTAACAGAGCCTTTTTGTGTGCTAGCCTTAGTCTGCTGACAATGTTTCTTCCCTTCTGTCCTTGCCAGGTGAGCTGGCCAGGAGGAAAACTTAAGGATTAGTGTATCTTATTAGACATCAGAGAGTCAACGTGGAGTGACATGTTGCAAATGCCTCAAGCCCAGGGTAAGCTTCAGTCAGAGCTTAGACATATGAAAGCTCAGCTGTAGACAATGAAGCCCACAGAAGTGGAGGTTTCTGTTTTTCTACTCAGAAATGGCGTGGAGTTCTGCCTTTTCTGCCTTGTTCGGTTAACAGTTCTTACACTTTACAAGTCAGATACAAGAAAGCAGCTTATGCAAAGTGCTCGTGAAAATAACAGTGTTATCCATACTGTGTGCTTGATGCTTCACTGGTGGTGGCAGTTGCACCTGGAAGATGGCAGCCTCAGTCATTCCTCTTTTAGGAGACCGATTTTACCATTTTGGATACCCACTGTGGGAACACATACACTAGGAATTAAGGTTGTAACAGTTTCACTGTTTACATTGAATTTCTCTTGTTTGCTTGTTGTTGTTGTTTCTTTATTTTAAGCTGAATTCAGTTTCCATATTTATGAATGCATTCAATTGAATACATTGATCTAAAAATGTTTTTGTTTGTTTGAGAAGATAAAAGCAGCAAAGAATAGTTGCATGCACTGCCCGTAAAATATGTGACCATGCATACAGCCATAATGCAAATGGAGAATAAATGTGTCAACACCAGGTTATATGTAAGATCATTCATTTATCCACCTCTGTATTCCCTTGAGTCCCATGGTCTAGTCGTAGGCATAAACTGTAGCTTAGAGCTGTTTTCTACACAAATGATGTATCACAGCTAATTGATGCATGATGTTAATGTCATCACAGGGAGAATAACGGATGCAACAGTTAAAGCTGCATTCCTTGAAAACGTTTCAAAAATTAGATCTAAATGAGAAAATGCTGATGACTGAAATATTCTCAGGGAAAGGAGTCCTCTTCATTAAACTGTTCTGGGAGATAAAACTTCTTCCTCATCCAATAAATCAGATGTGGATTTCCTTGTCCTGTAAAGCATTTTTTGTGATCATCACATTTTCATATCTGTCACAAAATCATTGAACCTACGCCCCGCAATATGGATTGGGGTGAGTCTGGAAATACGGCCCTCCCAGGACTAGTGATATCTGATTGTGTCAGACTTATTTCCAGAATTTTTCTGTGAACTTATACTTCCAAAATATTATCTATCTAAAAAATTAAAAATTATTCATTATCTGCGAAAGCTAGCATTTCTTTATATTTGCAGTATACCTAATGAATCTTTCAATGAAAAGCAATTTCACTTTCTACATGTGTCTATTTCCCCCCAAGCATGCAGAGCAGTTAGAACAGAATATGGGCTAACCCAGCCCCAGGTCTGACTTTCATCACTAGAAAGTGTTTTGACCAATAAAAGTTCAAAGTAAAATCCTTGTGAACATAGACTGGGTATAATATGTTCAATAGCTGTTTGAACATCCTTATATTGTAAGGGAATATGTTCATAGCCATGTGGTGTCTGTTTTCATATGCTATGAAAATAAGCTTCACTCAGTGGAGCACAGCTCTTTTATACTGCTTGAGAAACCAACTAACTGGAGTTTTACAATGAAACTCTTAGTCCTAACTAGTGTTTATGTAAAAGAGCTGTAGCGGCTTTGGTGAGAAATCTTGAGTGCTGAATTTGATGACAGTCTCTTGAGATATTAAGGTGTGGAGAAAGATGATAATGGAGCCTTTGTCTTTTCTTTAAGTGCAGTGCTTGCAACTCAAAACATTTGTCAGGTTATAGTAAAAACGTGAAGAGAAGTAAAATTGGTAAGTCAACAATTTGGCAAATGCTAGTCTGTAACTTCACAGAAAATAAATCTTTGGGTGGAAAGGGAGGTCTGTGCCTCTTAAACTAGAGTCCAGATTAGAGCTCGATGCTGTACAGGTCTGGGGAACTCAAGGGTGCGTTCTTCATCTCATGTTCAGGGATAACATGCCCATCTTTAAATCTCTGTGTGGAGTATGAGCCAGCCTCCCTCTCATCTGCTAGGGAGGAGAGGGGAGCAGGCTCACGGGCCGCTCTCCATTGCTCCTCAGCATGACGCAGTATTTGGCCTGCCCTGACCATCCAGCAGGCCTATGTTGCAACCTTTGTGGCTTTTTTTTTTTCTTCCCCAGTGTTTGCTTTCACTATGAGGCCTAAATGATGACCTGTCATAATATTCTTCCATCTAAGTGGCTTTACTTCCTGGGAAGTTTCTCAAAAACCAAATTTTTACTGTGACTGAAAAGTATTTGCAGTGAAAACTATATACATCCTGAGACGACAGAGAAATGAGTTCATGTCCTCTCTTCTTTTTTTTAATAGCAAACGTGCTGTCATTTGTGCACATTCATACTCGAATAGCTGAGTGGCTACTTAGAGGTGCTTTATTTTTGTAGCTACAGTATCAACTGAGTTCATTATAACTGGGTTGGACTTCTTAACATTCGACCTTGCCCAGATGAAACCTCTATTAACACTTGTCAGTTTGGAGGCCTGGCAGTCCAGACAGTGACCTTTATTCTGCTGCTGTCTTAGGCAAGGTTTATCACTCTGATAGAACCTAATTAAAATAGAAAAAAATAATCAGTGAGTGATGTCAGTGAGAAACGGAGAACCAAAGTAAGAGCTTTTACTGGCCACAATGCATCTATAACTAGCTGCAGCTCTTCCCTTTTCTTCACTGATGGAGGGAATGTTATTCTGCCAGCCATTATTCATTCTCAATGAGCAGGGATAATCTTTCTTAATCCCTTGGAGGGGTTTCTTTGCAATATGTTCATTCTGAACTTTAAATCACTATTTACCTAGGGCCAGATTCTGTCATGCTTTTTCCTGCCAAATAGTAGCTTCCTCTGTTAAAAATGCAACAGTGAGTAAGGACAAGAGTGAAGAGTAGTCTCTATGCTAGATCCTTAACTGATGAATCCAACTATGTGAATTTTCACCTGCAGTTATTTTTCTTCATGGGCAATGACTTAAACTTTTTTTTATTGTCAGATCCTTCCACTTACCTAGATGAGCACCAAGGCCTGTGGTCCATTTTTTTGGAAAACTGGAGAAGGAGAAAAGCCTACAAACTATGCAGTTTTGTTTGTGTTCTTTTTCACAGGGTCAGCTCCTACCATTGAAACTAGGAGCTTTATGGCCATCTTCATGCCACTAGCATCAAAAATTCAGTGAGCTCTTGCAGCTGCTGTCTCAGTGATCATGATTCTCACCAGAAATTTACATAATCAGTCAAACAAAACAGTGCCATCCTTGCCTTTGATATTTTAATAATTCTCAAACTGCAGCAAGGTCAGTACTATCCAGATAGTCAAATTTAGACAGACTTATCTGTTAAGGTCAGAATAGTTTTTCCATTAGCTTATGCCAGACCATTAACACAAGGAAAAAATTCTCTGCGCGTTGCATCTCTGTTTACCTGTTAAGGTCTTTTCCTTAACAGAGTGAAGAAGCTCTAGTGCATTACCTGTTTCTCATTTTCTAAAGTTCTTGGTGAATCTCCACCCCTCTTGTTTCAGTCCTGGCTTATTTTTGTTTATGTTACCTGTTTGTGAGATTAAGATTTGCTGGTTCTCATCAGTTTCTCTATTTATATCTTCAAAGGTGGGTTTATTAAGTGACAGAGTTTTCAGGTCCGGTCCAGCGTACTATTTTCAAATTGAGCAATGATGACCTTGAATCATTTTCTTTACTTGGCTTGTTATAGTATTTCTGTTCTCATAAACCATCTCAGAGAGATTGTAGACGATAGTGTTCCCCTGCAAGTTCCTGAAGAACAGCAGTAATATCAGCTACCCTAGTTCTACACTGTGTGGGACTTTTTTGTGGTGAGTGTACATCATGTAGGTAGTTAAGGTATAACAGCCATAAAGAGGACACAAGGAAGCAAGGATCTTTTAACACTTCAGTTCTTTAGTGAATCACTCTGACAACAAAAAAATATTATTTAATCAATTCTGCAGTAAAAAACATGGATGCTTCTAATAAGTGTGGCTTCAAAAAGGAGATACAATAGAATATCTGCTTCAGTCATTTGAATCTAGGCAAACACTGAAACTGAGGATGTCTAAGAACAAATCCCTGGTATCCCTCAAAGGCCTAGTTGATAAAGTAAAGGCATTTACATGTAAAAGGATTAGATTATTTTAACTACACATTTCATCAAGTTTGTCATACAAGATGGATTCTTTAGTTATAGTGTTAGATTTGTATAAACTTTACCTTTCGTATTGTTGCTGCCTTTCTTTTTTTTTGGTGTCTTTTTTTTTTTTTTTATATTGGCTGCAATTGCGATTGTGTTCTAAAGTATCCACAATTACAAATTGTAATATCACATACTTGATAATATAGTTGCATATATGTAAGCTTCTCTCATTTGTTTTTATTCTGATTTTTTTCAATGTATTTTCTGTTTTTTCTACTAATATACCAGAGAGGTGCTGGATTACTTACTACTGATACGCAGGGGCTACATTGTTGAAGATTCTTTTCCAGTACAATAAGATAACTCTTCTTCACTTTGAAGAAGTCTGTTAATTGAAGGAGAGTTACGTATTCAGGCAGCTGTGTTCTTGGATTTTGACTAATTACATTCTATGCAAAGCAGGTCTTGTCCAGAAACCTGACCCAGTGTCCATTAAGAGCTCAGAAATTTCTGAGATAATAGTGAACTCTGGAAAAGAGCCAAGAACAAGGGGAACTGAGGGGTTTTAACTTGGTGTTGGTTATTTCAATGCATTTTGAACAAGAAACCCTTTTCTGTGTTAATAATCTAACCCTTTCATATGTTCTTGATTTTAGTTGATGAAGGAGTTTCCTCTGCTCAGCATGTTCAACATCCACGAAAACCTGCTAGAGGCTTTGTTGGAACTGCAAGCCTATGCAGATGTCCAGGCAGTCCTAGCAAAGTATGATGGTAAGTTCATATATCTTTAAGTTTTCTCTATATGGTACACACAGAAGCAATGTCTCTAAGTCAAACTCTTAAAATTTAGGAAACTATAATTAAGGTGACTGGCACAAGCTTCATAGATCCCCTGATACAGTCCTTAATCCAAAGATTAAACATTGTGCATTTTTTCTGCCAACCCATGCTTAATTCATTGTACAGAGTGAGGGAACTTCCTTACTAGCAGCTCTTCAGTGCTTTCTTTGCTTTCTGTTGATGTTAAAAGAATGACTGTTTAGGTTCTGCAGACTTTTTATTGCATGCTTTTCAAACCTTGTCTGAGGAAAGGATTATCAGTTCCCTTGTGGACTTCCTATGAATGTTGACTTAGTAGCATGCAAGTGCTTTACAAACATTAATTGATTTAACTTCACAGCAGTCTAGTGAGTAGCAGACTTCATGTCTTATGGGGAAAACTTGGAAAGCTCAGAAGACTAGGTGAACTTTTCGCGTTAATTTTCAGTATTTTTCAGCAAGGATTGGTCTATGCAGCATTACATCACTTTTTATGTTCAAATCACAGCTCCTGCTGACTTCAGCTCTAGCCCTTTGAACTCGAATTCAGACACCAGGGTCTCAAACAGAGAAAGGACAGAGTAAGAAGCACTAACTGGCATACTTTGTTTAGTTTAAGTTAAATGGGTTTTCCTTGTATTGCGTAGAAACTTTGTGACAGAAACAGGAATACAATCCAATTCCCTTGAGCAGCGTTCATCAACCTTCACAGTGCCACTCTTCATCCTCTTCCTGCAGTCCCTGGCTTACTCAATATCCACATTCCAAGTTCTGCAACGAGTGAATCAGGAATCCTACAGCCATCAGTTTCCTGTTGTGTTACTACACAGTCCTCAGTCATCCTCAGAAAAGTCTCATTCTATGCACTGGAGTATGGCAAGGGAGTTTATGAAAGGAATATTAGGTAATCATATAACTAAAAATGAAATCATAACATGCATGAATCAAATAGCTGAATTAAGTGAAACAGGTAGCCTTAATTTTGATGTTTTTTAACTCTTTCTCTAGATTGATCTTGTAGCCTTTAAAATATTCTTAATTACTAGCTCTTACAGCCTTTCTGGTGTTCTTTGAACAGAGATTTTAAGGCTTGTAACTTCCAAAGTTTTTGAAAAGGTAGATGGACATCATTTGAGGTACTGTTGTATAAATGGCTACCAATATGGGCTCTGCAGCCTATATTCACAGTGGTTTGGCCACTCTTTTTCTTTGATTCTTTGAAGGAATTACCATCTTTTCCAGCCTGCCCTTAGTTGATCTGCTGTCCCATTTGTCTACTGAATTGTCTTCTGCTTCTCTTTTGCATGGTCAGTTTCAGCTTTCTGTTGCTCCCAGTTCCTACCAGAGGCTCCTCGTTCAGCCAGTACTGTTCATTCCCAATTCCATTCTTCTGCCTCTCCTAACTACCTATACCAGTCTTCTCTTCAGGGCAGTGATGGTCATGATACATCTCCTCTCCCACTTTCCAACTCCTGTCTTACCAGACATCTTTTCCATCTACCCTTTTCTCTGAGGCTTCTGCCTCCTCTTCATTTGACATTCTCTGCTGCATTGCCTGGATGCCAAAAAGCAGAACAGTAAGCGCATGCAGACAGAAGCTTCTCGCTGTCAGCCCCAGTACTTGGCCCCATATCATCACATGGAACAGTGGCAAGAGGATGATGCATAAGTTTAGTGGAGTACTGAGATGTGTGTACTTGATGAGCAAACAATCTTTGGAGGGTATAACCGAAAAAATTGCAGAAGCTTCCACTGAGTATGTGCTAACTGCTTTCTTCTAACATCTTATAACTTAGGCAATTAAGATAAATTTTAATGAGGCTAGCAATAGACCATTGGCTTGATACTAACATGATCATCCTGCCAAATCTGAGAGCCCTGCAGTAGACAGTGGCAGAGCTGAGGTTATTTATCGAAAGATAAATAAGCAGCTGATTACAGGCAACATTAGTGATAGTCACTGCTATCAGTCCAGCCTGGAATGTTTTCAGCTCTTTCTGGAGTCAGGTCATTCTAAGCAGAGATCAAAATGTCACCCAGGCCCTTGAGTACGGCCATTCAGTAGCAGTAATGGCTCTGGGAGAGAGCTTGGTTGTGCTTAGTCTGGTTGAAAAAATCTGCAGTTAAAGTGGTAACAGCAGAGTCTTTCTTGTAGCTCTGTGTATTTCAGTAATTCCTGTGACACAGATGTAGATCCCCATGGACTTTATTTTGGCACATTAAGAAGCAAGTAAATAGAAATGCCCATTTTTATGCCCCAGGCACCACAGGACATTGGCACCTTGTAGTCTTTAATGTAGTTGTGAGATAATAGCCCTGGGAGATAGCAGAACTGTGACAGAAGAGGGAATTAAACCATGCCCTCCTAAATATCAGACTAAACTCATGTGCCAGCTCTACTTTTGCATATTAAAGCACTGATCCCTAGTTTTAAACAATACCATGATGGCGCATTGTGTCATGGAAGCTGATGAAACTCAAAGGTGCGTTTTGTTCTCTCAAAAGCATCTGACAGAGTCAAAACTGAGGTTGTAAATGTAACAAATGAGGCTTTTCAAAACAAAACTCTTCTTACTTTGTCTGTTTGAACCCATGCAGTTTCAACTCATGCTTTGCCATATATCAACAAAGGTGTGTGTGTACACTAGGTATGCACAAGGACTCAGCAAACACAGGCTTAACCAGTATAACCCTTACAGTTCATGAGTCTCAGAAGACCCGTCTCAGGGAGTCTCAGCTCATTTTAGAACTCATCAGCTTCATGTGTTGTAAGATTTATTGGAATATAAAACAATGAACTCATTTATACTTTCCTATCTGCAGTTTCTGTTGGTCCCACTCCACTGCCTTTTTCTGACTAAGACCAAACCTGATTTATTGTATTTTGATAACATATGAACAAATTATTTCCTTGAGCAGTCTGCCCCCACCCTGGGCTAAAAAGTTGGATCACATTATGCGAAACCTCAGCCTGTGCAAGCAGACACACTGCTTTACCAAAAGCCATGTGTTAAATTGTGTTTATATTATGTACCTGGCAACAGAGCTGATGTCCATACTCATTATTCATGGAAAAAGGGCCTCATTAGTGGAAAGGCATGCACTGTTGCTGAGCTACATCATTATGGTTTCAGAGTTCAGTGCCTGTCAATAGAGTGCAGATGACCTAAATACTGTTGAATTCGAAAAGGATTTTTAGCTCTGATTTAACACATATCCATGTTATTTACAGGAGAAATAGTTATGACTGCTAAAGAGACTGGAATGAGCTTCTGATATTCATAGTAGATAAAGTTCCTCTGCTCCTCTTTCCTTGCTTTTTAAACAGATTGTTTTCCAGTGGAGTAGGTCTGCTTGTTGTGATGCTTAGAGCAAATGATTTATTAACTTCCCTGCACAGCCAGTTGCTTTGATTGTTATTATCTGGTAACCTGGACATTGTGTGAACACTCAGACCTTTCTGGCAATTGAAAGTCAGATTTAAAAAGAATGGATGCCTATGTATTTAGTCATAGTGATGCAGTGGTTACTCCCTAAACCTGTCCTTGCTTTCCTTTTTTTAAATGACAGTGTTTTCCAGTGAGACTATACGCCTTCTGGTTTGCAGGAGGAACACCGTGTACAGATTCCCCTTTCACTTACCCCCTTGCAAAGAAGGAGAAAGACCATGTCACTGTGTAGACAGAGTCCCAATTTCAGAGTACACTTGAGAAGACAATTTAGACCAAAGGATACATAGGAAGAAAGTGGTTTTTAAATACAAAAGGTCTCATTCTGCTCTAGGCTATGACACTTGTTTGTTTGGTAACGGCTTACTTCAAAGAATCCTACTTCAAATTAGTGTGAAATCAAAATGCAGACCTTTGAAGAAACACTTTAGAAACAGAGTCTTCTTTGTCTTGGAATACTTTCAACTTAGTGAAATACAAACAGCTAATGTAGAGAAATTAGTTCTCTAAAATGTAGCCTACTCAGGGCTACTCTCCTTTCTCCAGTCCCCCTCTGTCCAATTTCTTCTTGTCCTTATGGACTTATGAAATGGGTAAATTCTATTTACATTGCACTTGAAGGCATTCCTTTTGTAGAGAGTTGCAGATTGATGAACCAAATGCATGGAGTCTTCAGTTATATTAGCTGTGGTCTTCATGGGTTTTGTGTATATGTATATATTTGAGATCACAGCTCCACTCTATCAGTTTCATTACTTGCCATGATTACGTTTGGTGTTTTTGAGAAGATGTTCTACCTGGTGGAGCTAACTGGGTAGATGTTCTAAGTGCAAGAAAGGGTTTTCTTCTGAGTTAAACATGTAGTGGCAGTATGGAAGCAACCATTACCTCATGTACACTATTTTGTAATCCTTTTGTTTCTTTGAAAGAGAGACCTTAAGAGAAAGTTCCCTTCAGTTAAGGTCATACCAAAGCCCAGTCTACCTTCTCCAAGAGATGCAAATCAGGTAAAGCCTCCAGTTTGTGTAACAGCAGTATCAAGAGAATAGTTTGTCTTTTTTCCCATTACATCTTTTTCAGCTTCTCCTTCTAAGAACTGGTTTCTTTCTGCCATGTCAAAATCACTTGTCACTTCAGCGAGGTCCCTCTGTCTGTTCATACCATCTGGTCTCTTTTTTTGCCATATGATTCTGTGGGGTTTTTTGTTTCTCCTGTTTGTGCAAAAGCACAAAAAATCTAAACTAATTATAAACTAATCGTACCGATCTTGCTCATTCTAATCTCTTGTAGGAGAAATGATTCCTTCCCCTTGATATGCATTTAGGATTGAACTTGGTCAAATCAAAAGGGGCTGACACCTGCCTGGTCACTCAGATATTCGTCTCGGCAAGAATTATATATGAAGTGTTTACAACCAGCAGTGACCCTCAAAATCTTTCTATAACTGAACAGTTTAAGTTTTAGTTGTGGTCATGGCAAAACAAACACTTCTTTTTTGTCCTG